TAGATTAGATATATATAGATATATATAGATAGACAGTACAGGCAGATATGTGGACAAATAAATTAGGTAGATTAGATTAGATATATAGACAGACAGAAACAGACAGGTATACAGATATATAGATATAGACACATATATGGCTGTTTGGGGTATGCAATTTTCCAATCCTTTGCATTTAAGAAAATAAGGTAAAAGGTGTTACTGTGGGTGGGTATTTGACTTAAGAATGTGTGAAAATGACAAAACAAACAAACAAAAAGCAGCCTATTGATTGGGAAAGTGTTCCAGGCTCAACATCCTCCTTTCGGTCCCTCACATGGGCTGGACTCATGCAAGAGGCTCTCGCCTGTACTACTTCCTGGCCCTACAAAGAAATAAGGGGTGTGGGATCAATTAGAGAAAGGGGTGCAGTGACAGAGGGCATTCCCTCAAAATTCTGGATTGTCTTCTTTCAATTTAAGAGTCACCACATTAAACTAGCTTTGTAGCAACGTACCTGCCAGGAGCTAAGTATGTTAAAAGCACACCGTGCTAGCCACCAGTCCAAACCCTTAGCAAAACAAAAATGCCTCTAAATAGGCTGTCTGCCAAGTTCTGAAACCTGCGATGAGGTCTTAAGCGAACTAGTCTTTGCCAAGTGTTCAGAAGCAAAATTGACATTGTCAAACTGTATGACTGGTCAAAAGCAAAAGCACGCAGTGATTTGCTAAGACTTGCCAGCTTTCACTCATGTGGCCAGGCAGCTAACCCACAGGGTCGGTCACCCCGGGGACAGGAGGGGTCAGGACTGACAGGAGGTGCCACATCACCCCACGGCAAGAGAGCATGATCCACGAAACATTCGCAAGACCCAACCAGCACCCTGTCACAGAAATCGACTGTGTGACGAGTCTGAGGTCAGCAGACTTTAAAAAGCCAAAGTGGAAACTCAAGCAGGAAAGGGAGGGGCTGGGTCTGTGCAACAGGACAGCCGTCGGGGTTCAAGGCCAACCTAAGCAGAACATTCCCACCAATTCCACCTTGCGAGGGGCTTGCGGCCTGCCCTAAGCCCTAAGCATCAGAGAGACAGAAACAGAGGGACGGACAAAGCAAAAGGAATAAGAGAGAAAGGGGAAAGAAGGGAGGGAGGGCATGAGCTAAATGCATGCAGAGCGCTTGCCACGTAATTCAGGATTCCCATGCAGTACTCACACTTAAAAAGTGCCCCCCCCCAAAAAAAAGGCTTAGCCCTGTATTTTGTATTGGGATCTAACAGGAAAAGAAAAACATCCCAGGTATGGAAAACAGAAGGCATGTAATACTGAGACCTGTTCTCACAGGTGAGACCGCACAGAGGATACTGAGCTAACCTAAGGCAAGCAACAGTAGCAGGTGTCTAATACTCTTAGGCTTTTTTCGGGGGGGGAAGGGAGGGCTACCCTTTCCTGTCGAGATCCAGATAGTAAGTATTTAGGCTTACAGGCCGTTAGGTCTCTATCCCATCTACTCTACTCTGCCACTGTCCACCAGAGACAATTTATACACAAATGGGCGAGCTGCGTTCCAATAAAACTTTACTTGCAAAAACAGACATAGGGCTGGATTTGGCCCTCAAGCTGAAGTTCAATGACCCCGGAGCTACAGAAACAAAATGAGTAAATACCGGGGTCAGGGTCGCCTGATAGATAGAAGCTGAAACCACAGCAGGTCTGGCTAATGGAAGATGCAAAATGCAGCCCATGTCTGAGACCCCAGGTGAAACAGAGGGAAAGAAGAGATACGCCCTGGCTTCTTCCCTCTCTTATCACCTGGTATCCTGTCGATTCATTTCATTGTGGAAAGTCAGCTGGAGGGCAGCTGACAAGGGCACCTTGAAAAAGCACCCAGCGGAGATCAGCCTCCACAATAACAGAGAGTAGAAATCAAAGGATATGAAGCCAAACAAGCCAAAAACTGACACCACTAGTCAACTAAGTTCATATGAAAAAAAAAAATGTTATACTAGTAGAGGAAGTATCTCTTACCTTACATAGGTCCTGTCTCTTACCTCGATCACTGACATATAACTGCATAAAACCGTGAATCAAAAGAGGGGCTATCTAAGAATACACACTTATCTCAGTGCAAATTCATCTAAAGTAATGGAAGTCCATAACAAAAGGGGTATGTGCTCAGCCATATCATCTATACAGACCCAAATAATAGCAGGAGTGAGCGTGTGTGCGTGCACATGTGTGCGTGCACATGTGTGTGTGCATGTGCCCGTTGCCCGTGCAGATTTCTGAATACACTCAGTTATTCATCAGTTCAATTTTTATCATTACGTTTTCCCATAAGACCATTTGATGTAAAAGAATTATCTTCTGTTAATTTTCTATCTCTGTAACTGTTGGAATGTTTGAAAGAGACAAGTATCGGAAACATATCCATTCAGAGCAAAGACTATGCATATATAAAAAATATCCAAAAAGGATCAGTTATCTGATTCAGCCCTATTGAATCAAATTCTCAAAGCTCGTTATAAAATGCTCATCACATAAACAAAGGCTTTGGGATGAAACCTAGACCTAAATTTGAAGGCAATCTCTATTTACTCTATTAAAATTAAGGACAGTGTCATAAGGGAACGATTTAGAAGACAGTCTAAAAAGACTGCTATTCTAGGCTCCTCTAGATGATGCAAAATTATAAACTTAAGGGTTTAAGAAGCAATTACCTAAATAAAGTAAAGTTATTTTAAGAATATGATTAAGGTGAAAAAGCCAATGGCATTTTATAGGTAACACATTACTTAGAACTGGCGAAATTTTAGATAGCCATAGCTACGTAATAATCTTCTTCATGTCAAATTTCTGCTATCTAATTTTTAAATATAATATAGAAATCCTAGAAAAAGAAGCTTATCGTTTAAAAATACCAAGATAGTTTGATCAGGGTATCTTAACAACTTTCACAGAGGGCTAATCACAGTGTCTATAGATTGTTTCACATGACTCATTTTCATAAGCCACATCAGAAGGCAACCCACTTGCCTCTCCAAAACTGCAAATTCTCATGAGTAGCAAAGAGTCAACCTAACAACTGAAATCCCTCACCAGTACATAAATTACATCTCTCACATAAGATCGTAAATAGCTTTCAACGAGCTCTATCCAGCTAAGGTTTTATTAAACATAGGTACGAGGTTTGGGCATTTATTAAGTCTCTAAGCCTAGCGCACTGAAGTCCAAATTCTAGAAACTACCATGACAGGGAAGAAAGAAGACAACAGCTCAGTGGTCAGACACACTCTGCAATATAGATATAAATACTGCTCTCCAGGATCGTCTGTTCCTTTCATATTTTTGAGATCTTTATCCTGGCCGTCAGCATTTTTCCTCTCCCTCTTCATTCCTTTGGCCATTCTTCTATAACCTTTCCTGTCTTCCCTAGACTACAATATTCCCCAAGCTCACAATTTTTCTTTCCAGCCTTTATGTTCTTCCACAAACTGCCAGTGCTCTTCCACAGGCCAGAGCTCCCTAACTAAAGATGGTTATTGATGTACAGTACCAGTGTTTTAGTGCAGCAGCAGAATCAATAAAGGAGAAAATACTGCTTTGTCAGGCTTCACCAAAGCATGCTGGGAAACTTTACTGCTTCGGAGGGCTACAGAAACTCTTAACACAGGAGAGCGAGAGCTGGGCTCCCTTCCACGGTGAGAAGTGATGCTCTTCTACCCCCTAGTGACTAGAAAGGAATAAGACAAAAGCTGGGGGGACTTTTGAGATAGACAGCTTCACGTTATTATTTATTGTCTCTTAATTGTATTTCGAAAAAGAACAGGAGTCTTGGAGACCAAGTGAACTGGGAGGACAACGGAATACCTGACACAGTTCTTTTCAAAACGTTCAAAATGCAAAGGATGTACATTTTAGTAAGAGTCAGAACTTAGGTTTGGAAAGTTTGCCTTTCTTCCTAAATAGCTAGCGCTAGCCAGGTCACAAATCTCCGTCTCTCTTTTCCTCTCTCTTACACACACACACACACACACACGTGCGCGCACGCACGCGCACACACACACACACACACGCGCGCACGCACGCACATGCACATACGTGCACACACACACATGCTCTCTCTCTCTCTCACAAACTCACAAAATCTTTGTTTCAATCTCCTTATTTTACAGAAAAGTAAACAACTGAAGCACAGCAGTGAGGTCAGAAACCAGAGCTGGTATATATTTGTGTACATGCGTCCATGTAAATAAATGCATAAACAGAGATTTCTGACACACACACACACTCCCAAATACACACACACCACCATGCTGGTGATTTCTCCTTACAAAGTAGCCAAGCTGATGAATTATGTTATAATTTTTAAAGCTTTCTTTGTTTATTTTTACACTAATTTCAACATGCAGTCACTTGAGTTACAATGTGCTAATTTAATAACCTGACAATGATGCATTTCTACCTTGGTACACCTACATTTTTTACAAATTAGACAGTGAGGAATAATCATCTAAAAAATACTAACGATGTAAAAATAAAAATCACTGGTAATTCATGAAGAAATACTTAAAGAAACTCTCACTGAAAAAAAGCAACAAATGGCTTTTTTGGAAGATATAAAATATACTTATAAAATATATGACATATTCCTTTCAATTAATCTTTTCATTGTCCTCATAACAGCATAGCTAGTTTCCATCTAACGGTAAATAACTTCTGAAAGGACTAAATCTAACTGCACCACAGTCTAAATAATCTAAGCTTAATGAAGTGTAACATTCTAACATGGCTGGTACATATAAAATGTCACCACTAAAACAAGTGTAAGTTCAAGCATCTGGCTATGCCCTTATTAAACGAAATTTTGAAAGGGAGGTTGTGTCCTTATTCATAACAGCAGCAAGAGGAAAAGAATACTGTTATATGTTTAAGGGTGGATAATACCAACCATATATACATTTGTGTTTGCTACAAACATGAACTTTTAAGCAAGTGAGGTAAAGAAAAAACAGCTGTATTTACCTTGCTGGCACTTAACCGTTTCCGATTTGACCAACGCTAAAGATCGTGTCCATCGAATGGTGGAACATGGCAAAATGAAAGAGAGAAATAGAATCATCAACAATATACTTATATTATTCTGTTAGTTAAATGGTGCAGACTACATTCAAAACGACAAATGCCCAAGTTTCGAGGTTACAGAGAAAACATGTTTAAATGAGAAAACAGTTAAAAACAGAAAAATCACATTTCTGTGGTTGTGTCACATCATTTCCTCACAGAATTTTCAACAATGGAAATACAAGGACATATAAATACTGCTCAATCCTTAGAAGTCCATATATGTTTTTAATTGCCTTAAAACATTATAATTTTTCCTCTAAAAGCAACATGGAAAGGCAGATTTCTCCTACCTGAAATATTCAGATAGTATTATGAAGTTCATGGACAATGTCAATTCATGTTTAGGTTTCTACAGTTTTAGATACTAGAAAAATAATTTCATTTAACTCCACTGATTGAATCTCCATGTTCAAAATAATAGGAAAAAAAATCTGAGTCATTCTTGACAATTAAGAAAAATAGGATAATATAGCACTGAGAGAGGGAAGAAAAAATTTTCTGAACAGCAAGTAACTTCAGCACTGTTCTCTTTTGATCTCTCATTTGTCATGCTAAGGCTGCTGAATTCCATCTACAATTAAAATTCTGTCCTGGCAAAATCCTCTCATGATTCCTGTCGCCGTCCAGTACTGCAAAGCTCTACTCTGGCTGGTTAACCAGCTAACTGGATGTTAAAACTTGGATAAATTTGGGAGATTATAACTCAATTATAAATCTAATCGAGCAGACCACATTTACTATTATGCTTAAGGAAAAAAATACCTTTAGGCAAATGACCTATCCACTTTGCCAATACATCTTCCCAATAAATTAGAAACCAGAAAATAAATAGTCTTTGAGGAAAATCCGCTTACATTCCAGTGATCAGCAACTAGAAACGTTGATACAGAAATGACTTGCAAATATTCTTCATTAAAAAATACTTCCCCTGGTGAAATTGTGATTTTAACATTCAGCACATGGCACAGAACTGTAATACTACACTTTGGGTATTAAAATCAGTTCTTTTTGGATTTTCCCAACAACACATTGACAATTATTTTCACCCAAAACAAACACCAAAATGAATTACCATCTTATAGGTATGCAAGGCTATTTAGGGCCTGTCGACATATAATTCGTTTGATTTTTACAACAATCATAAAAGATAAATAAAATAGATATGGAAATTAATAGGAAATGACTATTATTGCCCACTTACTATAATACAAAGAGTTGCTGTATATCAAGTGTCTACCCCATGCCAAGCTCTAATTTGATAGTCTGAATTTTTACAATTCTGTAAAATAGATAACCTTTTTTTATCCTCATTTCACACACAAGGAAACTGCAGCCGAGAGGGATTAGGTTATACTGTGAATTTGACTCGATCACGAACTTCTTAAAACTAGAAAATAGTGAAGCCGGGATTCAAGCCCAGGGAGTCTGATAAAAGAGCCTATGATTCTAACTATAATCCTATTTTTGCCAAGAAAAAGAAAGAGACATCAGGTTTGTCATCCTTCCAACCAGTGCCTTACCTTCTAACTGTACCCTGCCCATTTACACTTAAGTTCTTGGACACGAAGCTTAACTTAAAGACATTTTACAACAGTAAGATTTTTGCCAGTTTGGTTCTAAAGCAAAAAAGATTGCCTCAATGATAACAAAAATAAATATGGGTACAAAACTGAGAATTCAAAGTGAAATCTCTCCATCAGGCTTTAAATTAAAACAGAAATTGATAAACAAATTATTCTCAATCAGAAAACTCTTGTCTCCCCAGTTTCAAGTGTTAGTTATTCCCATTAAATATAAGAATGTCTTTAAATATTAACTTAAACTCAATTTAAAAAAACAACCGTTTTCTGATATCTATTATGTCCGAAAGGCCCCGATATGCACTATCAAGTTGAATCACCACACACAACCCAGGATACATTATTCCTTGCCCAAATGTACTTTGATTAAGTATATAAATAGCAAAATGAAACTACCAGTTGGAACAAATGAGAGCAGGCAGGGTTTTCTGTATTATAATACCTGCATAAAATATATACGAAATATATTGTATACTAGACCTCTGCCAGACAAGCAAAGAACAAAGACAATAAGGAAGTGCGTGAGCGAGCAGACACGCAGTCTGATCTGACAGACTCAAAAACAGCAGTGGGACTGAGGACAGAAAAGCCAGACTAGGCAAGATGACAAGTGTGGCTACTTTTAAGACTCCGAAAACATATTCTTTGAGATGTTTTACAAAACCAAACTCAAGCTGCATCTGCTATTAACTTCTCTGCAATTTGAAATAAATTTTAACTAAAATAGTTTTAACTGCATTAAAACTCCAAATTGTTGCAATATTTAAATATATTTTAAGTGTCAGTATGACTACTAAACATAACTCAATATCCTAGAGAAAAAAAAATCGCAAGGGGAATCAATTGCAGCTATTATACAGCTTTGATATGCAACCATTTTCATGGCAAATTATCCAGCTTAACAACCCCCACTTAAATAAGTAAGAAATTATTAGAACATATCAGCTGACGATGCCTCAGCCACGTGACAAATGATACTTATTTACGCGGCATGTCATTTTAACCTGACATCCAGCTCACGTAACTGGTCACCTACTACTCACACTGATATTGACTCTCATGGCAATACTGTCAAGAATAAGAAAAGCTTAAGAAAATCCCTTCTTCGTTATGTTAGATAGAAAAATAAATTTATTTTCAACAGCAATTCAAGACATTTCAACATCAAAATATTAGCTTTATAGAGGTCTCAAGTTTTAACAGTGCCACTTTTGAAAAAATAAATAAATGGAGTTTTTTTTTTCTTTCGATTAACAAGTAAGTTATCATAAGCAAAGATTTCAAATTAAAAACAGCAAATATTTAGTTAACCCTCAGACAACTGAAAGGTCACTGTGCAGTTTTCCTTCTGTAAGCCATTTTCTATGAGTTTACTAGTAAATTGGTCATGATTTTCATTATGAAAATAAATTACAACTACAAGCAAAGGTGAGGTCAAAATGAAGGATATTCTCCTCGTCGACCCCACTGACTCGATTAAAGAAGTATTACTGGAGGCCTAATTTATAAACAGGCTTCAGATTTTAAGAACACTAAATTTTAACACATCTTAGTCCTTTTTCAAGTAAGTGTTTTAGCTGACTTTAAAAATGCCTTTCATAAAAGTTACAATCAAAGATACTTTTCATTCTTATTTTAATTTTTGGAATTATAAGGTATAATCTCTGAATATAAAACAAGATTATGATGTGTATTCACATATTTGCTCATAAGAACAGAATCTAAATCAATAATGTACAACACTATAATTAAATGAGTGAACAGCTTTTCCTAACTGAATAATGCCCAAGTCATCTAGGACCTAAGAAAATTGTAAATGAGAATCTTAACACTTGGTAAAATCATATTTCAGATGATCCGTTACAAGCCAACCATGAGCAGCATATGCATTTTAATAATAGCAATAGTATCCATATCCCTAGCCGAACCAGACAGAATGCTTTAATAGATCTTAATAGATTTTTTTCCCAGAGATTGAAAAGAAAGGAGATATATATATATATGCATATATGCACATATAGGTTCTTTAAGTCTCTATAAAATTATTTGTTTCCACCCTAAAAACAATTATAAAAGTATCAGTCATCTGGTAGCTCAGTAATCAAAGGAGAATTGCAATAAAGGACTTTTTAAAAACTCACACTTACATGTCTCTTGAAATCACCCTGCTTTACCACGAGGTTCAGATTTAACACAATCACTCCCATGTCATCTTCTAAACTGTTTGGATCTTCCAATTTTAAAATATGTTCAGTTGTTCTAGGAGGAAAAAAACAACAAATACTGTTAGCTCTTATTGGCAGTACTATGCAGTCTTATAATGCATCAGGAATTTATGGTAAAAGCCTCCTACCTCTGAAGAAGGGTCAGACACAAGTTAAAAAAGCACCAAATTCAGTGAAAATAAACTAACCATCTTCAGGGTGGAGAACTTGTTTGGCGTTGCCTAATTCAACAGTTGATTAACTGATTGTTCTCCCCTACACCCCAAATAAAATTTAAATGCTTGTTTTAATATGAAGATACGCAGGTTAACGGACCCGAATATTAACAAAGGGAAGTGAGACATTCAATACACATTTCACAACACGTTGTGGAGGATTTAATACCTGACGAATACATTTGGGAGCTAAAAACCAAAAATTATAGAAAAATTTATATTTTAAAGCACGCTTCGATTATTCAGATTTTTGTGTCACTTGATCTTATAAAAACACTATTTTAACTTTATCTTGAGTTCCCACTAAAATTCATTAATAACAATTAGAAGGTAAAAATACAATACCTGTTAAGTTCAAGATCACTGAGAATGACAAACGCAGATCCCATGAAATCAGACGTAGTCAAATCTCGATCATATACCTTAAGAGAGGGCCAGTAACACACATTAATATGGAAAACCAAATGAGTTTATCAAGTTATTAATAAATGTAATAGGCTGGGAATTTTGCATTCAGTCTTCTAGATCTAAAAATAATTTGCACAGTGCAGTTAAAGAGGAATTTAGCCAAGCTGATGGAGAGAACAAAATTATTCAAACTCGCCCATTTTGCCCACCACGGCCAAAACAACAGCAGAAAATACTTTTAAGGCAGTATTCACGTGCATTAAAATGTTATGCACGATGGACCACTCTCTGTAGTTTAAATGGTCTCTCATTAAAATTTAGTATTTTCCACAGTGAGCAGGTCTGCCAATTAAATAGAAATTTGCTAAATATTCTATAGCAATCCCATCCTGCACTCAACTCATGCAGTATTCACCCAGATGTTAGAGCAATTGATGCTTACAACCGGTAGCTTAAAGCTCTATTAAGTATAAAGATATTCCTAATGAGAAAGGCTTCAGTACTCGTCACTACTGCACTAGCAGTAATAATTCTTCCACATTCAGTAAGTTTAAATACAATCAATGAAGGTATTATTTTCACTCCGATTTTCTGTGGAGTATATAGCATTGGTCTGGGAAAAAAATGTAGTTTCGACAAAGGGTACAAAAAAATTCTTTCCATACTAGTATTTTTAACCCAGGGCTTAAGAAGAAAATAGAATGAATTTGGGGAAGTTCACTTTTAAGAAGGCAAAGATTGCTGAGAAATAAATGTTTTTCATAAGAGAGCAGCTCTGAAAGTCATCTGTGATTACCTTCACGCGTAGCTTTTGATCAAGGCTTTGTATTGGCAATACGACTATTTCATCCCAAACTGGGTTCAGGTTCTTATATATGACTTTACTTTTGTACAGAGTCTTCCCGTTCAGCTTAAATTTCACGTAGGGATCACTTGTGCCTTTAAAAAGGAAAAAGAGCAAGACAGGTTTTTTTACAGATACACGTGAAAGCCTAGGATCCCCATTAAGTAAAGATCCTTTCCACACTCTGCAGGCTCAGAGCATCCGACTGCACACGCCCAGAACAAATCTCTCCCCGTGCGAAGACTGAAGGCCCCAGAGGTGGCGAGGAGGGAGAGGGAAATAATTTGGAGTAAATGACCGATTCTTCTTTGCAGAGTATAAATGGGCTCCTTGAGCTTTCATGTTTTGTTTCATTGTGGGTATGTCATCACTACACTGCCCACAAAAATTTCAGAAATAAAACCCACTGGCACCAGCCGACGATGTCAGGGGTCCTGGGGAAAAGTCCACCCCTCTTAAGAACAGCAGTGAGTCAGTGAAAAGGGAAAGAAATAGTTTTCAAACATTTGGCCAGATGGTTGACTCAACAGAACCCTGTACTTCAGAATATAATCATAATAAATAAATCAATCTCTGGAACCACTGGCTCAAAAGACGGGGTAAGGGGACTAAGACTGGAACTGGGGGAGTAGAGATTAAATGGACAAAGTTGCCATTCTTTGCTGCCTCTCGCACCTGCAGTAAAGCAGAGAGCCAGCTGAACACCACATCAGCCAGGCCCTCAGCTGGCCTCGGGGCGACACCCCTGACCTGCCGACTCCTCCTGGGGAGCTTTGAAACGGAGGCCAAAAGAAATGAATAATGTCCCTCCAGCCACTATGTCCAAAGCAGAAAAAAGGGCTGATGACGGCCCCTCCTCCACATTTTTCAGATCAATTGAGAGAGGGGGAAAAAAAGCCTGCAAATATAATACATGGATTATGTGTTGTGCCTATGTGTTACATGCATGCAAGTGTGCCATCCTACGTGGGACACATAACGGTGACTGGGACACAACCGTGTATTCATACCTAGTGAATGATGAATAAAGAAAGCCCAATGAACGATCAATGGCGGAATAAATGCAGGCCAGCTGATAATGCTAGCAAACAAGAAAAAATCCAGTGGGGGAGTTATAATTAATTGTGAAACACAGAACTGTGAATAAGTCCACGAAGACCAACAGTCTGTTTTGTTCACCGATTCTTCCCAGGTGCCTTGGACGGCACCCATCGTTGGCCCCCCGTATATTTATTGACTTGAATTCCTGATGTTAAAGTCGAGCCAATGCAGTCTAAGAATCTTAGATCAAAAATTAATTAGGCAACTCTGTCACAGTTACCAAGCTGTTAATACCCATCATTACTTCAGTCTTTTTTTCCAGCTCCTTTTTATGTTTCTATTTAAGCTGCAGAACTAAAAATTTCTGCAAATGAAAGCAATGCATTTCCCAACTATTTAAGGTGAAAGTCACATCTCTATAGAGTAAGATAATATGCATTTTTAAAAATCTTAACTGATGAGCCAAGGCATAATTTTGACAAGTTAGTCTTCCAGTATCACAAGGCTACTACCTTTAAAAGAACGAAAAAAGTTTAAACTACAAATATACACATATGCATATTCAAGTCTCCCATTTCCAGGTTGGCGGCACAGAGGCAGAAGCCCAGCAGCCTTTATTTTAAATGTGGACACACACACGCCATGTAAGCGGCCGTTCTGAGCAGGACAGTAAAAAATGCATGCATTCACGGCCATTCGGTGGAACACTCACTAGTGAGCGAACGATCTGCCCACTGCCCCCCCGCCCCCTTTTTACAAGAGAACACCTCTGGCAAGTCAGACTTCAACAATCATTCTGATATATATATAAAAAAAAGTGGAGGAAAAACTATAATAAAAAGAGGCCTTTAATTAAATGAAATTGCCACTCTGGGATCAGGGCTTCATGCTTGTCAGCGTGCTCTCAAAATAAACATCTCAGAACTAGGCCTCGGTGGTGTCACTTTCTCACAGGCAAAGCATACTGGGTAATCCCCAGGCATCTTGACAGCTACATAATGTTCAAACTGTTTCACGGGTGAATGGCGGCAGTTGTGTGAAAGAAAATATTAATGTCTGGAATTAATAGAAAAAGGGACCAGGGTTTACAAAGCCAAACAAGAAAAGGGTGTCAAGTTAGTGCGGCGTTAATTGTTAGGGAAAATCTGAGGAAGGGGGGAGCACAGTGTGATTTTTCTCTCCAAGCATCAGCGCCTCACTGTCAGGGATGTGACATCTCAACTAGGCAGGTTCTGAAAAGGGGCTGGCCATTCAGAAATGCAACTCCCAGATTATACGAATGATGAGATGACACCTGAATGGGTGGACTTTAACCCTTTTTCACTGGGCGCTTCACAAACAATGAGGCTCTTTGGAATAAAGAGGTGGGGTGGTACTTGGGGAGGAGAATGAAGCCAGGAGGCGGGATGGTGTCCCCCGGCTGGGCTGCCACCATCCTGGGGCTGCCGCTGATTCTGCCATGTGGACCCCATGGAGTGACACAACCTCAAACGTAGAATATCAAGGTGTCGAGTGTCAGTGGCACGAGCTTCCTGCTTCATCCCAAATACACTGTGGTGCTGCGTGTCCTGAGAGAAACGAACAGCCATTCGTTGGTCCTCCAAAAACGCTGCACCAATTTATACTCCTCTCAACGGGTGCGACAGTCCGTATTTCCGCTCATGCTCAATGACGCCATGGACGGTCTAGTCTCCCTTGACTCTGTACCTGTCACGCCTGCTAACACTGCTCAGGTGTCACAGACTTGCACAGGTGACGTGAGTGCATGGCTCAGTGCTAGACACTATGGGTGGGAGTGGGGGAAGCAGCAAAGGAAAATTAATCCCAGATTCAGCTCTTCTACGCCCGGCAGGCAGCAGGCATACTGTAAATATAACACGAGAGGTCAGTATCAAAATAGAATTGACCTTGAGAGTTGCGCCGGTTCACGGGTGGGGGAGATGAGTCTGGCTGGGGTGTCGGTGGCCGCTGAAGTAGAGATGGATCAGAATGCAGAAGAGGACCGAGGTCATTTCGGCAGGAGGGACTAGCTCTGAAAGGGCGGGAGGGGAAGGGGACCAAAGCGACGATTTCAAGAGCGCCAAGGAAGCACCTCGATCGATCCAGAAGTTAAGGGGGGAAAAATATAATGAAAAATAAAGTTAAAAAGGCGGGTCTGAGTCAGAGGCCAAAGCACCCTAAAATAACAAAATAAGGAGTTTAGTTTTTGTTCTGTAACAGGTGTATGGTGGTTTTGTGTTTTTCTGTCGTCTCTCTTTTTAGTATTTTGACAAATGTAAGACATGCACCGAACTCCAAAAGGTATGAAATAAAAAGTAAAGGCCTCTATCTGCTTAACCCTTCTTCCCCCCCATTCCTGTAGTATACCATTTTCTTGGGTGTTTTACAGGAAAAAATACAAGAATTGTTTTTACGTTGAATTTAATCATACTGTATGCACTGGACTTCACGTACTCACAATTAAAGCACCGTCCGTTCATATCAGCAATTGGTTCTTTTATATCAACTGCATAAATTTCCATCGCATTGTTGTGTCTTAACTTTTGAAGCTGGTCACCAAACAATGAACATTTATGTCATTTCCAAATTTTTTTACTAGTACAGACAACACCGCCATAAGCATCCACGTATGACTATCTTGGGTTTCACAAGTAATTACGTTCTAAAGAAATTTTTAACATTGGAACTGCCAGGCAAATTAATATGTGCCTTTTCTGGTTCAGACAGACATTGTCACATTGTTCTTCCAAAATCTATCAAATTTACAGTCCCATCAAGAGTATGTGTTTTGTATGTTTCTTTACATGGTGACCAGCATTGAATGTTATGCACCTTTATTTTAAAGCAATGGCAGATAAAAAATGCTATCTCCACTTTTCTCCACTTTTAACATTTGAGTAAATCATTTTTTGGTGGCCCGCATCTGTACCTCTTTGTCAGGGAAATTCTTGTTTAAATCGTTTGCCCCCTTCTCTATTGATTCCTGGTTTTTCATTTGCTTGTGAATTTGAGTGGGATCTTAATATTATCAAAATCAGCTATAAATCTTGTCATAATTTGTTTAAACTTATGTTATTTCTTGCGGTAAGTTATTTTGATTTTTCTTTAGTCAAATTGAACAAAGTTTTATTTATGGCTTTGTAGTTTAACATTCTGCTCGGAAGAAATTTTCTCTCTGCAAGATTTTAAATTACTTCATCTATGTTTTCTTCCACCGATTTTGTAGTTTTTCATTTTTTACACTTAAGCCTTTGGTCCATCTGGAATTATTTCAGTGTGAGGAGGGAAGGGAACCCAGGTTTGCTTATGAGCAGGAGAGTAAAATGATCACAGCCAAGTTTTAGAAATATAAATCTGGCAGCAGCTTATAATTTAGAAGGCAGAAGAATCAGGATACAGCAAGAAAACCTGGCAATTGAGATAATACAGCACGGGCACTGAGGACTGGGGAGAAAGCTGCGTCCACACCGTAAGCGAAAACCCAGGGTTTTACAAGCGTAATCCATGGAATGTTCCTCCCGAGAGATTCTCCACAGACTGAGAGGATTATGTCTTCCAAACCGTCGGGAAAAGCTGTTCACCATTTCCTCACTTGGAAGTTCACGGTATACAGGAAAATTTTAAACTGTGCCAAGAACTGCATTAACAACAATCAACAACAATAAAACATAAATACTTTCCTACTCGATATTTCGTAACATTATTCAAGCATAGAAAACATCTGGCCTGGAGCACCTACAAACATGACATTAAACTCTTCCAAGTCGAAACTCTGAAAGGTAAGATTTATGCCCAGAATTGCCTAATGCACAGGGTAGATGTATTATAAATACGTGGTAAATGAACGATCTTTGAAGTGAGATAGGCATGGTGGACTGAAACCCCAGACCTTCCTTTCAATAAACTAGATCACCGTGGGCAACTTAATGCCCTTAAACCTACTGTTTTAACCTATAGGATGGAAAATGCCAACCTCACAGGCGATGTTGATAGCTGAATGAACCAGCCATTCACCGTGAGAAAGTCCTATGGCAAAGGCTGCTCTCTTCAGTAC